CTTGGAAGCAGCCCAATTGCCCATCAGCTGGAGACTGGATAAATAAAATGTGATTTTTTTATAAAATGGAGTACTACTCAGCCATAAAAAATGAGAAATTAGAGACATCGCTAAATGGATGCACACTGAGGCAATATCCTTAAGTGAAATAAATAGGACATGTATAAATACTGAATAGTTTCTCTAGTGTGAGAAACTGAAAGTGTAAATAAGGGCTAAAAGGTATAATAGATAATGTGAAATAGGAAGAAAAAGGGCGAAGAGGAAGGAGAAGTAGGAGGGGTACGGGAAAGGAAAGCAAGAAATGGAATTAATATGAGAAAATGAAAAAATGGAAACAAAGTCTTTGTAAATGGGGAGGGATGGAGAGGTTGAAGGGAAGGCAGGGGAATAGGGTAAAAATAAGAACCAAGAGAGATTATGTAAAGGTGCAAATTCCCAATGATGAGTGTCATTATATTGTATACCTAAAATGTACCAATAAAATTAATTTTAAAAAAAGAACACCAAACATGCCCACCCTTGGTTCATTCATTCCCCAGACACCCTCCCAACCAGAGTCCAGTTTGGGAAATGTAATGTTCCATCCACCTTGGTTGGGATGTTGGAGCACTCCCCTGACCTTCACATTTCAATGTGATGGTATCAGGAGGTGGTTCTTTGGGAGTTAATTAGGTTTACGTGGGGTAGTGTTGGTGTAACCCTCGTTATGGCATCAGAGTCCTTGTAAAAGAGGCCCCAGAGAGCTATCTTGTCCCTTCTACCATGTGAGGACTCAGCAGGAAGCTATCATCTCTTGACCAGATGCACAATCTGCCAGCACCTTGATCTTGGACTTTCCAGCCTCCAGAACTCTGAGAAATACTTATCTTGTGTATAAGCCTCCTGATTTATGGTATTTTATTATAGCACCTAAACAGACTAACCCACCAACCCAGTCTCCCAGATGAAAAAGTTTCCCTTGAACTTTCCCATCCTTTTGAACAGGTCAAAGATCTTAATTCCTGAGACGTTTCCTTTTTGAGAACATTTGCTTATATAGTTTGGCTTTCCCCAGCTCTGCCTGACACATGAGCCAAAGTAGGGGCAGCCAAAGAGGAAAAAAAACCCCAGGACCGGAGTCCACTCGCTGCCCTTTGGGCTGCAGAAAGAGAGTGACATGAGAGCCAAAGGCACTGGGGGTCAGGCTGCCCGGGAAATATTTCTTTATGCCTGACCTGATGTGCTCACCAGATAAAATGCTCCTTCTTCCAACCTGCTGGCCAATTAATACTTTTTTATGGCTTACATCTGTGCTTAGTTGACCATGAGTCTGGGTGACACCGTTTGAAATGGGAGACTGTTTCCTGCAATTGATCTCTTCAAGAGATATGCTGCTCCCCCAGGCTCAAGCCCTGCTTAACGTTAAAAGATCTGGGGTGATGCAAACTCCAGAGGCAAACACCAAACATAATAAAAAACCTCACCACCACCAGGCCCTGATTGTTCACTGCCTTTCCACTGCTTTGATTTTTTTTTAAGTCTTTTTCTCTTACAATCCAAGCCATACAGCCATGAATTGCTTTTCTTAGCACAGTAAATCATAACGGTTAATGCCAAAAAGATGCCACAGAGCAGTTAGATTGAAGTGGTACAGGAAGCCTTACAGATTGTTTTTGAAAAAACATGTGAATGATGCTCTCTTTGGCAACACAAATACTAAAAGTGGAATGACTCACCGAAGATTAACATGTCCCCTGTGTAAAGATGACACGTGGAGTAATGAGCAAGTCCATGTTTTTTAATTACGAAGTGTTTGAATTGTCCTGTCATTACAGAAACAAAATTTCAACACCAGATTTGCACCTACCTGTTTTTCTCTCTTTTCTGCTTCTTCCAGAGATTTTTGTAGCGTCTTCATTTCACTGGTTATCACTTCTATCAAGCTTCTCGCCCTTTCCTTCTCCTCTTTAGCCTCATGCTCTGCAGTACCCAATTCTGACTTGACAGACATTAGCTTTTTCTCAGCTTCCTCCTTCATCTTCTCCAGTTTGTCTCTGGATTTATTTAAGTCTTCAATGGCTTTGGTCTGTTCCAAAGTTTTAATCTAAGAAGTCAAGAAAATGTAGATGATTTCTTCTGTATTTATTTAGGAAAATCATATAAACACGATGAATCAGAAATCAATGGATTAACATTTTTATGACTAAAGAACGGAATTTATCCCAAACAACTACAATGACTTTACTAAACATTATGAGCTGAATGGGCACCACTTAAAACAGTTAGAGTTTATAAACAACATATTAGAGTACCCTTATTTGGAAAATCACTGAGATAAGATTGTAGATGGCATGAGTCTTAAGTGAGATTAAAATAAAACCCACAAGTAACTTGTACTTTCTGCCCTAACAGTTGGCCATTGACTCTTGTAGGTAAACACCAGGAATAGCAAAATGTCCCCTTAAGGTGTCCACAGGGAAGCCCCACCTAAATATCTTCAGCAAGTCTTCATTACTGCTATGAGGAAAACCTAGAGCAGCAATTATTCAGAGGTATCTTCTGACTTCACCACAAGTATAGGTTGCAGAAGATATCTACAACCATGACAAGCAACGGAACAAGAAGGTGGCTCCCATTGAGGAGTTCACCTCAGGTCCTAGAGCCAAACAGAGCATCCTGGAGTGTGAGGCACATTTTCTTTATTACCTTATTACATCAGATTATACCAGAGCTGCTTAAGAAAGAATTTAAGTTTAAAAAAAAAAATGAAATTCTGACATAATTGACATGGGTGAACCTTCAAAACATTATGCTAAGTGAATTAAGTCAGATACAAAAGGACAAACTTTGTATAATTCTACTTACATGAGTTACCTAGGAGAGATTAATTCATAGAGACAGAATAAAATAGAAGTTACCGGGGTCTGAGAAAAGGGGAGCTGGAAGCTACTCTCTGATGGGCACAGAGCTTCAATTTGGGAGGATGGAAGTCTGGAAACAGTGGTGGTGGTGGCTGTACAGCACTGTGAATGCACTTTATTCACTGAAATGTATACTTAAGAATGGCTAAGATGGTAAATTTTGTATTCTATTTATTTCAGCACAGTGAAATTAAGGAATCAGAAGCAGTTTTCTACAGACACAAATATTTTTAATGACCTTTTTTTGAGACTGTTTCCCTATATAGTTCAGGCTGGCCTTGAACTCACTGTGTAGGCCAGGCTGGCCTCGAACTCAAGGTGATGATCCTGCCTCAGCCTCCCAAGTGCTGGGATTATAGGCATGCACCACCACGCCTGAATTTAAATGACTTTTAAAATAAATACAAATGAACTACCACTTAATACTCACTAGGGTAGCTAAAATAAAAATGAAAGGCAACGACAAGCTCTGGAGAAGATGGGAGGGACACTGGAACCCTCTTGCGCTCTTAGCTGGAGTGGGAAATGGTGAGGCTGCTGTGGAAGACAGTTTGGCAGTTTTCAAAACGTTCAACATAGAGTTACCGTATGACCCAGCAATTCCACTCCCAGTTATACACTTAAGGACACTGATAAAAACAAAACATGTCCACACTGTACATAAATATTCATAGAAGTACTATTGATAATTGCCAAAAAGTTAGAAATGACCCAAATAGGCAGCAAGTGATGAATAGAAAAAGAAAGTGTGGTATAGCCATAAAATGAAATGTAATAAAAAATAATGGAGTACCATGACATACTACAACATGGATTAATCTTAAAGACATCATGCCAAGGGAAAGAAGCCAACTGCATAAGACTGCATATTGTATGATTCCATTTATATGAAAGAACAGGAAGAGGTCTGAGGAAAGCAGAATGGAGGCACAGGGCTATGTAGCAATGCAATGAGAAAGAAAGTGAACTGGGGAGACATACTTGAAATTGTGGCTGCTCCTGATAGTGTGTGTGTGTGTGTGTGTGTTTTGTTTGAGGAAGGTTGGTTTGGTTTGGTGTTTTCTGAATAATGATAGAGGTAAGAATTACCATTTAGTTGTTGGACTGCTGGTTATTTACTGACAAGGGGTTCAGTAGCTCATTTACATGGATTACACCTGGATCCCACCCTGACATCTTTACCCAGCCTTGGGCTTGCTTACCTTCACTGTGGCTGAGCGCCTGAACAGGAGCACAAGTTGATCTGATCTCAACTCTGAAAGTTCTTATGAGCCCACTGGAAAGTGCTAAGAGGGGTAGACACTGTTCTAGACTGGAATTAGGACTCAATGTAGATGACATATCACTGCTTGGGAAACTGTCTTGTGTGACTTCACTAAATTAAGGAAGCCTGGGTTGAATACATGCTGAACTCATAAACTATAAACTAACAACCAGTTTTTACCTACTATAACACACACAAATTTCTAAGAAATTGAATTCCTTTTGCTTTGGTTTGGATGGTTTTTTTTCCCCAAAATTCATACATTGCGGTCTTAGCCCCTAACTTGATGTTATTAAGAAGTGGGGGTTGGGGGGGGTGGTCATTAGGATGAATACCCTTTAGAAAAGAGATCCTAAAGAGCTCCCTTGACCAGTCCACCATGTGAGGACACAGCTAGGTGTCATCTATGAACTAGAATGCAGGCCTTCACCATATGTGAAATCTGCTGGCACTTTCCAAGCTGTCAGAATAGGAAGAATTAAATTTCTTCTCTTTACACTCCACCCAGTTTATGTATACTATTTTGTTATAGCAGCCTAAGACTAGGATAGATACTTTTCTACACAGAAAAGAGGCTGGTGACAGACATGCTTGGATAGGTCATTGCCATAGAACTAACTCCATTCCAGGGAGATAAAATGTCTTGGAAACTGACAGAAGCCATGAAACTTGCTATCAAAGAGGCATAAGAACAACTGCTGCAGCTCTGGAAATACATAGAAAATGAGATGCCACAGCTAGGGGAAGGGATTTTGCACTGGAGTCAATAAAATGACACTAGCAGAACAAGCACTGGAGACAAGGAAATGCCACCCACTAAATTGAGGTTTTGGGGCTGACTTTGGAGATCATTTATGGATCCCAGGTTACCATGGACTATGCTAGATCCAGTACATCAGAGTATTATCCCAGTGGGAATTCCTGAGTGTGCTGATTGCATTGTGGTGAAGGAGAAGAATGTCCTTGATGTTAAGGAATACCTGGCAAAGTATTTAGGGGTGAAGTGTCAAAGTGTTTGGAATTATACTCTTAAATGATGTCTTAGTTACTTTCTCATTTCTGGGACAAAATACCTCACACCCACAAGTTAAAGGAGGAAAGGTTTATTTCAGCGCAGTTTGTAGAGATTTCATTCTGTAGTCAGCTGGCCTCAAGGCAGGGCAGCATGGCAGAGGGGCATAATGAAGGAGAGACAGTCCATGGCATGGCAGGCAGGAAGCAATAGCAAAGCTTCCTTTTTCTTTTCTATTCCACCCAGGGATAAGCCTATTGGTTGGTGTCACTCACACCATTCCCCTTCACAGGCAAACTATCTCACTGCCACAGAGAAAATATGGCACAGAGTGGGAAGTTGCTAGGATGGGTATGATGGATTTAAAACCTTGTATTAATAGAACAAGAGATACATTCAGGCTTCCTGTGCCAATTGGGTGAACATCTGCTGTGGGCTATCTACTCAAGGTGATGGGACACAGCCTGGAGAGCAAGAAGCAGGCTGAATCATGTCCTAATGTGAAGACTGTCCTGCCAGGAATTTCTGAAAACTATGAGACCTTTATTACAATCCTGAGAGCTGCCTGAACTCTTGTTGTCAAGAAGAGCGAGAGCAATAAATGGAGGTCAGAGCCAAGCCATCAGGACAGAATTGGAAGCCGGCACAGTGCAGCATAGTGAGGACCTTTGGCTTCCTAAGTCAACCTCAACAAAAGACAGAAGTGGTGTGGGACTAAATCACTTTCTCTTCTTTTTCATTTTTCTTTTTTTTTTTTTCTAGTACTGGCATTGAGTCTTTTCACTGAGCAACATCCCAGCCCTTTTATTTTTTATTTTTCATTTTGAGACAAGGTCTTGCTAAATTGCCCAGCTGGGCTCAAACTTCTGATCCTCCTGCCTTAGCCCTGGGAGTGCTGGAATCAAAGACTCCTGTGGGCACTTCTCTGAGCAAGATCAGTGGTTCAGTGAGAGCCTGTGCCCCTAATTTCCTCCCAGCAGGACAGAAGTGGCTGTAAACATGACTGATAGGCTGCCGAGCCTACAGCAAGGATGGAGAAGGTGTCCAGGAGCTTCTTTCAGGAAAGAATTGTTAAAACTGGTGCACAGTTGTCTTAAGGGCCACCAAAGAAAAGATGATTAAATTTAAAACCTGATGTTCTAGCTTCCCTGGAGGGTCTAAATTCTCCATCAGGTGGGTTTCAAGCCCTACATTGAAAACGCCCTTGGCTGGAGCCAGGCATTATTCAGGGCTCTCAGGATAGGGTAGGACAAAACAGAGGGAGTCTCTCTCAGGCCCACAGATGCTGTGAACACTTGGAAGCATTAGGAGAGGTGAGTCTGGCCCTCAGGCTACCCAGCTCCCCTCTGTACCTACCACCTGTGGCCACAGTGAGCGCTCCCTTAGGGTCAAGGCCCTGTCAGCGGCCTTTGGGGACTCAAAGCTTGGCTCTAACTGCTGTTGGAGCAGAGCTTCAGTGATTGCCCAGAGCCTCTGACAGGGCTCATTTTGCCCCTCACTTGAAAGGAACACCCCCTTGTGTCCCCTTAATGAGCTCTCTTCCGCTATCATCCATATCCCCCACCGTCAGTAGAACTCCAGGCTCCAGGATATCTGGGTGCAGTCTCGACCTCCTGCTTCCCCTTCTCCCTTAGCTCCTTCCACCCAGGGTGGGAGCAACTGAGGCTGCCTTCCAGGCTTCCACCCCTACTCCACCACTCTTCTAGGGCCATTCCCAGAGGTGGGCTCTGGGACACACACCTCTGATATTAGCCCACCCATTGTCCCCCATCAAATGCTCCCCAGGTATTTAAATATGTCCCTCCCGGGGCTATGCCAGCCTCCCCTTCTCTAGGGAAATACACCTAATTTCATGCCCTAGTCCGGAAGGTAGAAGGGCCTCCAGGGGAGACAGCTAACAACCTAGAAGGGAAAACACAGTGGGAATATTCCCATTCCACCTATGCAAGGAACAGCTTGATTTCAGATACTTTTTCCCTACGGGTCTGTTTCCAGATTCAGAAACATTCCAAAAGTCAGTTTGCAAAGAGCATGATGTTATTTCTGCTGGTTTGTGATACACACACCTTCTGGGATGGTGTGTGTGTGTTAACTGACATCTTACTGCCAGTAGCACACATGCACAACATTTAAATACTTTTATTAAATCCCTGTACATTTTCTTTTCCTGCTTCTCTATATTCACTGGAAATTGAACACCTTGAATCCAAGCAATATCCCCCCACCTTTTACACAGTTGTGTACTCCAACTCTTTTTTTCCTTTCTTCTTTCTTTCTTTCTTTTCTTTTTGTTTTTCTATCTTTCTTTCTTTCTTTTTCAGTACTGGGGATTGAACCCAGTACATTGGCACTGAGATACAAATCCAATCCTTTTTTATTTTGAGGCAGCATCTCTCTAAGTTGCCAAGTTGCCCAGGCTGGGCTTGAACTTACAATTCTCCTTCCTCACCCTCTCAGAGTGCTGGGGTTACATGTGTGTGCCACCACACTGGGTGTGTACTCAGATGCTTCTCAGTAAGCAGTGTGTCTATTTTCTCATTTCTCCCAAAACAATTCCCTATCTGATAAGTTCCTCTATCACCTCTAATCTACCTACACCTTGAGAAAATGTTCGTATTTTTTGCCTGTACAATCACTCTTTCTGGACTGATATTTCACACATTAGTGATGACTCTACTTCAGATATTAAAGACACAGGGCCAGGGATTTAGCTCAGTGGTTTTGCAGTCTGCCTCACAAGTATAAGGTCCTGAGTTTGATCCCTGGTTCCAAAAAATATATATGTTAAAGAGGCACTAAGTTGATATAATATTCTGATTTATGTAGTTCTCACCTTTTCCCCACAACTCTGAGAAACAACCAGAAGTTCTCATCACTTCCCTCCTGGTATATCCACGACAAGCTGTTTGTCTTTTGCATACACTTCGATGGTAACTGGACAAATGCAAGAAGGGGACGGAGCCACACACTTGCCTTAAGCTCACTGGTGTCAGCCAACTTGGCTTTGAGCTCTGTGTTGGATTGGCGACATGTACTTAGCTCTTTCTGCATCCTCTCCACCTTCTTCTCCAGCTTCCTGGTAGTGAGATGGGCTTCATCCCTCTCCACAGCCAAGGCAGTGCGCAACTGCTTCTCCTCCTCCAGCTGGGCTATTTTCTGACGGAGGAGATTCATGTGCAGTTCTTTGCTCTCCAGCCTTTCTTTCTGAGTTTTTAACTGGTTTGATACAAACAGGGATTTTTTTTAAAATAATAATCAAATAGTCAGTAGATATAAATGAATTACCCAGATAATGTCAATTTTTATCTACATTTCAAGAAGACTAGCTTATACACCATCCAAGAAGGTTACTGGGTTCCTTTTCCTGATCACATTTTTTATTCATATTTTTTCCAAAAATTAATTCTGCAAAGTATTGGACAAAAGAGACACAGAAAATGTGCAAAAGAATCAGCTTTCCATACCCACTTCTCGCCAATATTATGTGCATCATAATAAAAATGTGAAATTACTTTTAAAACTACATGAGTAGGTTTATCAAGAGCAGAATATAATAAGGCAGAGAGACAAAATCCTCTCTAGCACTCAATAGTCACAATGCCTGCACCAGTGTTTTCTGAAACAAGATAGGGTACAGATTAGTACTGCAACCTGGACCTGCTAGATTTAATCCCTGAGGACCGAGTTGAGCAGCAACCACCATGAGAGTTGATATGTTTTAAAGCACAGTAAGCCAAAGGAGATATTTAAGAAGACTTTGCTTACATGTTTTAAACCTTAGAATACAAGTGACTTCAAGAAAGTTTTAGTTCTGAGGTCTTTGTTACATGCCCAGCCTATATACTTACCCTGGCTAAGGGAAAACTTGCTGAGGGAAATTTGAGTGACGTTTTAGAAAATGAAAACATTTCTAAGAGGGGAAAGGTCTTCCTGGGCTCTCCCTGTCACAGTTAGTGAGTGGAATGCTCTGTCAACCGTCACAAACACGAGGACTGGGAATTTGGTCGAAGAATGGAATGTCTGAGCTGAAGGTCACCTCCCCCCTCACTCCCTACTCTGCGTGTGTGAAGAGTTAGAAGGTGGGAGGACTTCCTGGGATGCTGCTTGGAGTTCTTGGCTCAACAATGACAACCTCATCCACACCCATCTAACTCTTTTACTTTTTTTTTCCAGTACCAGGAATCGAACTCAGGACCTTGAGCTTGCCAGGCAGTAGTGGCGCTGCTGAGCTACATCCTCAACCCAACACCCATCTTACTCTTTAACAAGGCCCTCCTTCCTCCTAACAGTCCTCTAACCAACCCTTCTCTTGACCTCCGCTGTGTCTAATTTCACTCTACTGCAAATTTACACTGGTGAGTTCTCTATACTCGGGTAGTTTTAACAATTATGTAACTCTTAAGAAGGAATAGTATCGGGTATTAAGAAAGAAAATCAATTACTGGAGGAGGACTTTGGAAAAAATTGTAGCTCTATTTAACATCCCTGATTGGACTGGTCTTCTTTCTTTCATAAAATATTCCTCACGATATAGTAAATTAGGGAAGAGGCTAAATGTGAATCAGGCATCTTATATGAGTCAAGAGTTCAAAAATGTTGTGGATTAAAAAGTAGCACTCATTGAGGTATGTTTCATCACCATCTTAGTATAAAGAACAGACAGAGAGGTATGCAATTTTTCCAGGGTCAACCAGCTTCGTGGAGCCAAAGTGAGAACCCAGATGTGACATTTACACAACCCCTACACTAGAATTCAACCAAGAATTTTCTCCAAAGAACTATTATAAGAACACATCTGTGTTTTCCTTTTTCCTTCCCCAATACCAATAATTACGTAACTAATAATTATATTTTATCCCTTTCATCTATTCATTCATTTGGTCTCAACTGTTTCTAACTCTTTGAATGAATAAAATGTAAGCCCTTCTCTCTCTCTACTTCCTAGTGCCATAAAGCATATAAATGCAGAGACTCATGGGTTCCTTCTGTTCTCCCAAAGTCATGGTCACACTCCATCTGCAGGTCTCCTTGTCCCTAGGTTTGGCCATCAGAACATATCCTGGCTGGAGGTAAAAATACAAGGACACAGAGAAAATTCTGGGTGCTTTTTTCAAAAGACACCTCTTACATGTTCTTTAAATCCCTCTTCTTCATCCTATAAACAGATCTGATGGTTCCAGGTACCATTTTGTACCATAAGGCTAAGGACCACTGCAGGGATGGGAAATAGGTCAGAGTCATTCCTAGAACAGAGCAGAGCTGTTCTGCCAGCCCTAAGCTGCCTGTCTCCAGAAATGCATAGGGGAGAATAAAAACCTTCTAGTTCTTTCAGCCACTATTATTTGGGGCCTCTATTACTCACAACAAAAAGAACCTAAGGTGATACATGCGTTTACCAACTCTTCAGACTTGAAATGGAGACTTGCATTCTAAATAAGGCTATGTGTGGCAGCACATGCCTATAATCCCTGCATTCTGGGAGGCTGAGGCAGGAGGATTGCCAGGGAGGCAAGTTTGAATCTTGCCAGGGCAACTTAGTGAGAACCTGTTTCAAAATACAAAGAGCTGGGAATGTAGCTCAGTATGAAGACCCTGAGCTCAATACTCAGTAACAGAAATTCTGAAACAGAAATTCTAAATACATATCTTTTCAATGTGTTTTCAAGCCACACTGATAAATATTGGTAGGGGTCCATTGCCTTTCTCAATATTACAAAGTTTCAATAACACCTACCTTTCTCTGTAAATTGTGGGCGATAGTCTTGTTTTCGATGACTGCATTGCTCTCCAGGCGGACCAGCTGTTCTGTGCGAGCTAATACTACATCCAGACGCATGTCAAAGCCAAGTTCAGCAGTCATCTGGTTCAGTTTCATTTTTTCTGAAAGCTGATCCAGAAACTTAAGATACTAAACCCAGGAACAAAAATGAAAATGGGACACAAAAGTACTGTTAACGTGGAGCTCCTGAAATCTTCCTCCTTCCCCCAAGCTTACAGGTGGCTCCCTTTAAACCCAGCATGGAGCCTGGACTCTGAGCCCAGGCCTTGGTGATAAATTCCTGAACAACCCTAACCATTCCCTGCCCTGCTTCTTGGCCAAATGCTCTTGACCATCTGGCTCAGTGACCTTGGCTTCAATCCAGTATGATCCATTCTTCTCATCCCTGACACAGGAAATTTGGCAACACCGCTGATTCCATCCTCATCTCTGCTTTGGCAACATGGAGCTGCAGCCCTGCTGCTCTGAGGCTGATCCAGCACCAGACATCCGCCCATCCATGCACCTTCCGAAGGAGTTTTGCTCACCAACTAGACCCTGGCCTTGAATATGGAAACTGGCCACTCAGCCAATTACCACTTAACTCTTCTTGTACCATAGAGACAAAAGCAAAACAAAACTCTCCATACTCACAAAATTTGAACAACTCTGTGGGGTTTTCTTAAGTTAAAATACTTTCCAAAAGTCTTTAACCGTGTTTAATGCCAGCCTTGCACAGTACCACACACCTGTAATCCCAGCTACTCAGAAGGCTGAGGCAGGAGGATCATAAGATCAAGAGCAGTTTAGGCAACTTAATGAGACCTTGGCTAAAATTAATTCAATAAATGTAAAAGGGCTTGAGGTATAGTTCAGTGGTAGAACAGTTGCTTAACATGCATGAGGCCCTGAGTTCTAACCTCAGTACCAGGGAAAAAAGTGTTTAATGCATCAAAGTTAAATGAACAACTCCTAAAATAGAGTTCTATGAAAGAAGTCATGGTCCATACTCTAATAAGCTTAGAGCCGCCTCCTCCACTAGGTTGCTGTGACTGAACTGGCTGCGCCCAGACAGAATAATGCTTATCAAGTGCTTGCTGGATGAACAAAGCAATCAATGAGCTCTCTATATCATAACTGCATGGTTTGGATTCTTTGATATTTTCTTCTCATTACAATAACTTCACATCCATCTGACATATACAGCCAATTAAATGTTTAAATAAGCATAATTTCCTGCGAGTCTAACCATATCAGTTTAAAGCCTGGAACTATCTAGATTTCAGTTGTCAGGATGAAAATTATCTGTAAGTGTGTATTTTCCAATTTTGTTAACTAGCATTCATATAAATACCATTTAATCTCTTGTTTATAAGTCACTGTCATTACAAATACCACACATCGCGTTGTGCCTCAGTGCCACAGGCTGCTTTTTTCTCTGCACCATCAGGTTATTGTCTCTTTTCACTGTGCCACCTATCCCTCTGGAATTTTTAATTTCTCACAGTGTAGGTAAGTGCCTTAGCTTCTATTGGCACTATTGGTGCCTTTTATGCAAAGCTAGAAGAGCCCCTTTACTCCATTTCTACATGTGACCCATCCCCTTTGCATATGAGGATCTACAACAAGCCAAGACCCCCCAGAGACAGAGTTTATTTCAAGAATCACAGCTATACCTCAGATTACAGCTGCTAGAAACGTTTAACTTCATAGAAATTAAACCAACTTCATAGACGTTGAATCATTGTTCAGCATGAATAAAAAATGAGGCATTCTACTCTGTTATGTGCTAGCCTTAATTACCTTCAGTTAGTACTGAATCTCCACACAACTTTGTTTTTCAATTTTACATGATAACTGCCCTTGCTAGGACGTGCATTTCATATGCAATTATCTGTGAAATAGTTACTGTGGTCAGCTTACATAATGTGCTTTCATAACTGGAAATTATTTTGGCATAATCCCAATTAAAATTAATGATTCATTTATATGGAAAGAAAGGAAGAGAAACCAATGCACCTGCAATTCTTGCCTTTGATGCATTTTTTCTAGAATTCAAATAATATTTATTGACTTTCTCTAGACCCTAGAGACAGAAAAAAAAAAATTTTTAAAGACTTCTCTTAAGAAAAAAAGAGAATAGAAAGAAAAAATGGGAACAAAGCTTTTGTAAATAAGGAGGGGAAGGGCCGGGGATTTAGCTCAGTGGTTTCACCGCCTGCTGTGCAAGCGCAAGGACCCGAGTTCGATCCCTGGTACCAAAAAATAAAAAATAAAAAATAAATAAGGAGGGGAGGAAGAGCTGAAGGAAGAGAAGGGGAACAGAGGGAAAAAGAAGAATCAAGATCTATTATGTACAGGTACAAATTCCCCACAATACATGTGATCATTATGTATATCAAAAGTATATCAAGAAAATTAATTTCAAAAAAAAGATTCCCCTTAACCTCAGTAAGCTAGGGATAAATCGTCATAGTTGAAAAGTGCTGTGACAACCCAGGCATGGTGGCACATGCCTGTAATCCCACCACTCTAGGAGGCTGAGGCAGGAAGATCATAAATTCAAGCCTAGCCTGGGCAATTTAATGACTTAGCAAGTCCTTGTCTGAAAAATTAAAATTAAAGGGCTGGGGATTTAGCTCAGTGGTTCTGCTGCCTGCCCTGCAAGCAGAAGGACCCAAGTTTGATCCCAGGTACCAAAAAAAAAAATTAAAAATAAAAAGGGCTGGTGGTGTAGTTCAATGCAAAGGCCCTGGGATCAATCCTCAGGACTGCCAAAAAGAGAAAAAATATGTACTGTGACAGAGATGAGCACCGGCCACTTGCAGACAGTACACAAGCAGGGCTTGGTCTCTCTGGGAGACCCAGGGCAAGTGACATCTGCACTGCACCTTGCAGAGATGGCTATTATCAGGTGGGAGGAGAACATTCTGCAGAGGGAAGAGCTCCATGCAGTATGAGACGCCAACAAGACGAGGGGAGCACTGCTACAAATTGGAATGTGGGTGTCTTAGGCTCAGCATTTACCACATACCCTGCCAGCATCCTGCTGGTCCCTGAATCTTCTGAGTTTGTCCCCATTGGCTAGAAAGATATTACAGGAGAGGAGATGTGGGGAGAAGAACTAGCCAGCCTGCCCAGTGTGAGGCCATGACAATAGAAGGAATCTGAACTTGACCCTGAGGGCCACAGAGAGCCATCAACCAATTTTCAGACAGAGGAAGGTGAGGTCAGACATGCAACTGATGAGGACCTCTCTGGCAGCAGTGAGCAGCAAGTCGTAGGTAGGCTGAGCAGAGCAAGGAAGCCTATTAAAAGGTTGTGTCCAGAGCCACACAACTTGGACAGTGCTCAGAGGCAGAGCCTACTACAGAACTAGACACAGGATGCGTGGTGGTTGAGGAACAGTGAGGAGATGGGATGGGTGGTGTTAGGGTCTGGTTAGAGACGGGAAAGAGTAAGGAAAGGCTCTGGCAAGTGGAGGCCGGCTGCCACCATCACCGAAGCAGCAGGGGCAAAGATGAGGACAGATCATGTCAGCTCTGAATATGTCTAGGTCTTGGGGGACCGTCTAGGTCCAAATTACCCCACATTACACTCAGGTGCGGTATTTCTTTTCAAAATCAAAAATCTAATACAAATACATAATACATAATAGAAAGAAAAACCCCACCCTCCACCCTAGTTCTCAAATCTATTCCTTAACATCATTCACAAAACTACTACTTGGTCCACAACCTCATTATCTTCTTATGTAGACTGTTCCAAGAATCTCCAGCCTGGACTCTCTGCCTCTGGCCTGTATTCCCTCTGAGCTAGTCTACTTTCTGAGCCAGAAAACTTTCTTTTACTCGAAACCCTTCTCTAGCTTCCCACTGTGTATAGGATGAAACCACAGTAGTTCACCTGCCCTCACTTCATTATTCCTAGCAGCCATGCTGTCCCACACCTCTGGCCTCACCAAAGCATCAACCTCCATCCCCATGTATCGCATTTGTTCCTGGGCCATCTTGTCAACCTCCATTCCTTCTCTTTTCAGGCAGTTCCCTGCCCTGTCTTCTTTCCTACCTCTTCTGCCTGACCTGTTCCTACTTCTTTAAGGCCCCTGTCAATTATCACCTCTTCTATAAAGAAGCCTCCTCTCCTCACACACACAGGAACCATTCGTCTTTTTGCTGAGTCCCTGCCACACTTTACACCTGTCTCCATACAGCACTAGCAGGACTAGGGGTGCCCTAGTGATCTGTCTGTCTCAGCCACTGGGCTGATTTCCAGACACCTTTCCTACAGCTCTGCATGCCCCCCCCCGCTCTGTGCAACATGGTGCTTCCTGGGTCATTTTTAAGTTCAGAAGAATAAAAGTGAATATATTTTTCACCCCAAATTCAGCACATGTTCTCAATGCCATTTGCTTCTTTTCTCTGCCTACCCTCTGTCCCACAGACTCACAGCCCACAACCCCTTAACTCCCTGTCCTGCTCACCGGAAGCTGTCTCTGACTCTGTTTGTTACAGCTACTGCCTTGTGCCTTTTTTAATGCCCAGATTTCACAGTGGTCTTCTTGTGAGCCTGTACCCTTCCTGCTTCTAGTCAACCCTCATCCCAGAGCAAGCAGGCTCCCCTTTTCCACTCTACAAACCTGTGTCATGGGGGATCTGCACACACTCAGGGTTGACCCTTCTCTCCGCTCCTCTCCCACTGGGCTGGAGACACCATCATTTCTAAGAGTCTCTACACTGCAATCTCAGCCTCAGAGTGACACCATATCTTTTTGAAATATAGTCACAGGTTACTTAGCATTGTGGATGCTTTGAGAACTGCATCATTACACAACTTCATCATTGAGTGAACATCACTGAATGTACTTTTCATAAACTAAGTTGGCTACAATATCAGTTGGCAGTATAATCTTATAGGACCCGTGTCACATGCAGTCCATCACTGACTGAAACATCATTAGGCAATGTGTGACTGTAAATGACATTCATAATCACTTGTCACACTTTGTATTCCACAAAATAAAGTACACTCAGTCTCCAGAATGCAAGCCATTCCAGTTTTCTCTGCTGCGATCGCCCCGCTAAGAATGTCACATATGGCCATATGGGCTTAGAAGCTCTGCATTCTCTGAATAAAGCATTTCAAGATTCCATGCCCTTGTTGAAACTGTTTCCCCCGTGGCACCCACCCCTTTTCACCACTATAATCCTACTTGTCCTTCAAGATTAACATAATTATCTCTTCTCCCGTAAAATCGTATCTTTATCCAGAAGTGTCTGCAACGCTTTATTAATGTAACAGAGCTCTAATAGCACGTAGTCTGTGGTACAGCAAATGACCTGAATGGTTGTTTCCCCTTTTGAATTATGAAGTTTTTGAGACCAGAAACTATATATTATTTATATTTTACCTCCAAGACCTTCAGGGCATATATACAGTGGGTACTCAATAAACACCTAGTATGATTGAGATCCAATATACCCCCAAAAAAGTTCATTGTATTGGAGGCTTAGTTGCTGTTGTGCTTTGGGAAGTGATGGGATCACGAGGGCTCTCCTCTTAATCCATGGATGAGATCATAGTTTGATGGCATTTGGGGAAAGGCAGTGGAAATAGGAGATGGGGCTTAGATGAAGGAAGTGGATCATGTGGTATGACCTTGAGAACTAAATCTTTCTTCTCTTTCCTTTTTTACTGCTTCCTGGCTACCATGAGGTGAGCAGTTTTCCTTCACCATGCCTTCCACTGTGATGTTTCTCCCTCTCCACAAGACTGAAAGCAATGGAGCCAGCTAATCATGGACTGAAACCTTTGAACCATGTGCCAAAATAAATCCTTCCTCCTTCACATTGTTTTTCTTAGGTATTTAGTCAAAGCAATGAAAAGCTGACTAAGTTATACCTATGAACTTTAATGGAATTAATGGGAATCAAGGAAGCTCCAAACAATAGGAAGAGACTTAATGCTCCTTGAAATTCATTCATGACCCAGGATACATTCAGTGTAAGTACTACAACACCCAGAACATTCTCAGATCAAGTTCTGAATGGCCCAGATGCTTCCACCCAAGGGCACTCCCTCAGGTTCTTACTTTTTGTTTCTCAAAATTCAAATTGTCTCGCAAAACGTCTCCAGACACTAGCTCTCCCTCCAGGTCTGTCAGCTGGCCCTGAAGAGCCTCCAACTTGTTTTCTGCTTTCTGGGCCCTCTGTAGAGTTTTCTGGTGAGACTCAGACTTCTTTCCCAACTGTTCAACAAGCTCAGATACTTGGGATTCAAGCTGAGAGACCATCTGGAAATGAAGACACAGAACAAAGATAAGCCTTGTTGTACATGCAACAAAGTGTTAAAATCTAGGACTTAGCCCAAGTAGCATAACTATTTCTCACACCCACTTCCAGGTTCTTTGTAAAAATTAAATAAAAAATAAGTTATTGGTAGTCTATATGAAATAAATCTACATTTGTTATCTAATAAAATATTTTTATATAATCCCTTCAACAGGCTATTTGATAAATATTTACAGGTAAAATTTACTCATCTCCAAAACTGTCATTAAGGGTTTCAAAGCTTTGTTGGAAAAAAGAGTTAAGAAAATAAATACTTTCAAAATTACAAAAAAATCATTTTCCACAAAAACTCCTTTATCACATACAATTGACTAAAGATTATATGATGAGTTGATCTTGATAAGCTTATGGAGAATTCAAGTGCAGAAATATATTTTTTCAACCTTGTATTGGGTATTGGTTATTCATGCCTTACACTCCAATGTCGCTGACTCTACATGACATTTGAAAGATCAAAATCTCTCCAATATGGTGGCATCCTATAAGCAGACAGGAGAATCTGACTGCTATCTTCTCTCCTGCCCCATAAAATCAAAGGCCCTTCACTAAAACCCCCTAAGGCTCCCCATTCAGAGAAGATCCCCAGTATTTCCACCCTTCCCAGGAGTTCCTGTCTATGTCTTAACTGTCCTGTCCCCTTAAACCAAGAGCATAAGTATATTAAAGACCTCAAGAACATTTTCAGATTCCCAAACTGATCTTGTTAAACCCAGCTTTCATCAAATGTTTAACTCAATAAAATCAACATACCTGGGGTGATAAACTCATTTCTTTTGATGGTTTATTTTGGAAGAGGAAAGGGAAAAAGTAGTAGATATATACATAACACTATGACACCATTCTATAGGGTTAAACATCTTGACAGTTTCAGTCTTTTTTAGTCTAAATTTTAAAAAAGACTACCTATAAACAACAATACTTAAAGGCACAGAGATATTTGAGTTACTTCAGTTTTTTGAGAGGCTGCTATATGAAAAAGCAGTAAGATTTCATCTGAGTTGCCCTCAGAGCTTAGATTGAGGTATAAATCAAAGGAATTCAACTCCTATTTAAGGGAAAATTTCTCCCCAGTGCCTGTAATAGCAATAGTAATACATGCCCATTATAAAATATTGAGGGCAAAAAAGTATAAAGAAGCTAAAAATTCTCCCATGATACTACTTTTCATAGGCAACAAATATTAATATTTTAAAATAATTTGTTATCCATTATTAAAAATTAAATGAGATTTTATTATGTATGCAACAATCTGTCTTTGTTTCTATCTGGCTATATTTTATACATTTTTTCATGCCATTTAAAATGCTTAATTAATATTTTAATTCTGCATTAAGAATCCATCATGAGGTCTAGGGAACACAGCTTAAAGTAGAGCATCTGCTAGCATGCTGGAAGCCTTGGTTTCCATCCCCAGGACCTCAAAAAAGAAAAAAAGAATCTACCATGAGAATGTATTATAATTTACTTATGCATCCCTTTGTAGGAAAGGAAAACCGTCCTAAATATTAAGGCTGTTTGAAGACACCAGCCAGTAGGTAAAGGATTCCCAGTTACTAGATATGGCCAGAAGTTGGCCAACTATTGTCAAGAAAGTTACAGCATGGGGGCCGGGGATTTAGCTCAGTGGTTCCACCGCCTGCCTCGAAAGCACAAGGTCCTGAGTTTGATTCCCAGTGCCAAAATAAATAAATAAATAAAGTTACAACATGAATTGAGGTGATATATAAGAAAGGTTGGGCCATTTGAGCTCTAAACTCTCTAATTCTGTACTTTTATTACTTTCAGTAATTTGTGTGTGTGTGTGTGTGTGTGTGTGTGTGTGTGTGTATTAGGATTGAACCCAGGGCCTTTGGACTGAGCTACATCCCCACCCCTTTTTTATGTTTTATTTTGAGACGGGGTCTCACTAAGTTGCTAAGTTGCCCAGGCTGAGCTAGAATTTGCAATATTTCTGCCTCAGTCTCCCAGAGTGCTGGGATTTCAGGTGTGTAACCCATGCCCAGCTAATTCTATACTTCTATGGGAGCTTAAAATTGGATGTTTGATAGTAAACCATTTAGAGCCACATTTAAGGAATTATCTTTCCCAAAGAAATTATTAATGTTCTTACAGAATATGAGAAGCTGAGAAGTCTCATTTCACATTTTCTACTCTTGGTGTTTACTAACAATAAATCTGCTCTTGATGCAAGAGAAATGGGTTGTCCTGGCACGATGACATACAAGGTAACCTGCAGAAAAAATGGCCATGCAGCAAGGTCCACAGATGTGGCCTCCCCAGGGAACTGGGTCATGTTATTCAAGGTTTAACATCTGTTTCTGCACAACACAAGACGTAGCTTCACATTGCACTACAGGGAGGGAGTCTTTCCACCTGGAGAGCCATCAACACATGTCCTATGCCGCTGGTGACCTACCAAGAAGAATGAAACTGAAAGCAACACAGACAGAAAGCTCTGCTGGAGAGAGGCAGATGGAGTCACTGACAGGAGCAGCGACCCTAAAACCAAGGGAGCAATAATGAGCCTGGCAGCCATCTTGATGGGAGGCAGGGCCTTTGGAGTCAGACAACACTGCTTTAAGTCCCAACTGTCCTGCTCATCAGTGTGTTACCTGAAGCAAGTAACTAACCCCTCTGAAACTCATAGATGGTAAAGGAGCCAATTTAGATCATCTCAGTAGCAAATCCGAGTAGCAGAAAAGATGCTTCCTGCTTGGATTCCATGTGAAGCCACCTCTATTGTGCAGAAACAAGGTGTCAAACTTTGAATAATAGCTCCCTGAGGAGGCAGCATCTTTTGACCTTGCTCCATGTCCTCTTCCTGTAGGTTGCCTTGTAGGCTGGACCGTGCTAAGCACATTGTATCTACTGCATTAACACAGACCTATTTTAAGCCCCACTGAGGTCCAATAAAATGCTTCCAAGTTTACCATCAGTATGACCGCCATAAAGAAATTTTCACTTTCCATTTTCCATAAAGAACCTTTCAGAAATTGTCCTGAGCTGTGTTTCTCAAACTATTTTCAAATGTATTTTTATCACCTACAGGTATTTCTGGAAAGGACACTGTTATGGTTTGTGTCTAGATGTCCCTCCAAAGCCTCATGGGGTCATATCGCTTTGTCAGGGGTGGCTGAATCTAGAGTATGTGACGCTGGGATTAAGAGTGTGTGATTAGTGCTGGGGATGTAATTCAATGGCACAGTGCCTGCCTGGCAAGCATGGGGTCCTGAGTTCGATCCCTGGTGCCAAAAAAAAAGTATGTGATTACTAAATCAGTCCACTGATTGGTTTGGCTCCACCCTAATCCCAGTAGCCTAGATAGAGTATAAAAGAGGCAGAAAGACTCTGTTAAGGTCTCTTGTTGCTTTTGCTACCAGGTAGGCACCATGAACTGTTGCCCCTCTGCCATCCCACCCTGCCTTGGAGAAGCCAACTGTGGACTGAAACCTCTACAAACTGTGAGCCAAATAAACCTGTCCCCCTTTAACCTTGGGTGTCAGGTATTTTGTCTCAGCAACAAGAAAAATAACTAAGAATTTGGTACTAGGGAAGTGGGGTCATTGCTACAACTACACCTGGCCATGTGGTTCAGGAGCCTTTAGGAATGGCTTGTGGTAAGAGTTTGGAAAGGTTCAAAGAACCCCGCTAAAAAAGGAGAGCTGGAATGCCTTAGGCTGTACTGTATGGGAGATTCTGGTCAGAGTTCAGAAGACCATAATGATGATAGAAACCCTACCAGTAAAAACCAGGCCCAGGAGTTTCTGCTGGGAAAAAAGACTGCATTGGCTGTTGGACTCCAGATCATGTGTGTTATGCTATGGCAAAAAGTTTATCTGCATTTTGTTCATGTCCAGAGACTGTCCCTGAAACTGAGATTCAGGTTGGCAGACTAATTACTCTGGCAAAAGAAATTTCAAGGCAGTCTAATGTTGAGGCAGTAATATGGCTATTGTTGGGGGCTTTTAGTCAGATTTATGTTGAGACTCAAAAGGAAAGAGGACAGCAGAATGATTTAAAATGTTCTGAGTTTGGCCAGAAAGGAAGCACCAGTAAAGATGTGGCCTGGAAAGATAGAACAGAAGAAATCTTGATTGCTGAGAAGAAACAAGAAAATAGAAACGATGGCCTGAGGGCATCCCAAGAAGCAGCAGGACTCCACCCTTTGCAGCCTCAAAATTGGAAAAGGGAAAGACTTTGCTTTGAGAAGAAAACCCCAGAGCACCATGTTCCAGAATGGTGGCAGCCAAGGAAAGTTGTTCCTTGAGATTTGGTTCATAGGTACTGCACTATAGCCAAGAGAGAAGGAAGCCTGACTACTGCTCCAGCTGGCAGCAGACCTTGGAGTCATCCACATGGTGCTGGTTTTAGATGCATGTAGAATGCAAGAGCTGTGGAGTCAGGAAGGCTTCCACTCAGATTTCAGAAGAAGGCCTAGGAGGCCAGGCAGTGTGCCCCTAAGAGGACAGCATGTAAAGCTGTGAGTGTGAACCCGAAGGTACAGTGGAGACCCCAGAAGTTTGGAGAAGCCAGGACTGTGGATCCTCTGAGGAAAACTGCAAAGATGGAGCAGAGCCAGTCAAAGAGAGAAGCCATCAGAGCTATGAACACTGGCAGTGTCATAGGGATAGAGTTCACATCTTGCCACAGATTCCCTTGGATGCTGGACATGGAACTACAGGATTTAATGTTTGCTCTGCTGTAGTTTGGACTTGCTTGCTTTGGTCCCATTCCTTTGTATCCTCCTATCTGTACCTTTTTGGAATGGTAATGTCTATTTTGTCCCATTGAATGTTGGAAGTGTTTAACTTTCTTTTCATTTGCACAAGGGCTTGCAGTTAAAGAGTTTGCCTTAAATCTCAGAAGGAACTTTGGACTTGGATTTTCAGCACTGCTGAAACTGTTACAACTTTTGCAACTCTTAGAGATGGACTAAATGCCT